CCCTTCCACACACACACACACACCCTCCAAACCTCATTAAATAGTGAGCATGGTCAACTTTCTCCAACAGTGGGAGGGCTTTAAAGAGGCATTAAATACCAGGAGTGCATTCCGTACAGAGTGCAGAATTCAGGGTGCACTATGTGCTGAGTTTAGGGGTGCACTACATACATAGTGCAGAGTCCGGGGGTGCGCTGCAAACAGAGTGCAGAGTTTAGGGCTGCGCTACAGTTCAGCCTTCTTCCACAGCTGCTTACTTCTGCATCCCCCATCCACATCTCACTTTCACCCCCTTCTTCTCTAGTACCTCCCTGCAAACTATAGGTGACTCCTTTTCTCTTATTTGCAGGGAGATCATCCAGTGAGGGGTGTCAGCATCCATGCTGCACCCTGGGCACTTGCATCTCCTTTGTCCCCATCCGACACCCAGTGGGAGCCACTCAGGAGATCAGCTCTGTGGGAACTATTGGTAGACAAGCTGTCACTTCTTAACACAAAAGCTGGACCTCTGTGTTTACAACAGTGGTGAGCAGGAAGCAGAGGGCCTAAGCCAGAGGTGGTGGAACTGAGTCCTACCAAGTTCCATCTGCACAAAAGCCCTGGTTACGAGCCCAAAGGGTGTAGGACCTGAATATTACCAGTATGTCACCAAAGCTTCCAGGACCATGAGATAAGCGGTGAAAAAAGGGGGGAAACCCACACCTATGTGTTGGGTCCACAGATATCATGACGGAAGGTGTGGTTGGCTCTACCTTAGGTGGCATCTAGGGGGGAGTGAGCAACTAAAGGTAGGGGAAACCTGCAGTTATGTGGAGCAAGGAGAAGAAAAAAGAGGGAACAGAAAAGAGGCTAGGAAAAAAGGAAAGAAGAAGTAGAAGACGGGACATGGGAGCCCCGGGGGGAGAAGCAGACAAGGAGGCCCAGTAGAGAGCTAGCAGCAGGAGATAGCAGCATTTCACCAAAGTCAGCTGGTAGATAGTGGTCCACCCATGGTTTCCACAGTTGCTCATACTTACTCACCCTATCCAGTAGGATTGCCTCTACCTTGGCGTTTATCATGGCACACATGTTCTTATTTCTTCCATTTCAGTTTGGACAAGGCAGCAGTCAGGCATAGAAGAAAGAGGCTGTACAGGAAAGCAGTGAACACACCAGTCTGTATTTTCACTCAATCAGATTCAATGCATTTCTGTAGACAAGACTTTTAAATAATGAAGGAAAATTAGAACCACTCAGTGAGTAGGCTATTTACCCCTAAGTTAGTTTACGTTCATGCATTTTTTTTGTGGCTGCAATGTAACTTTAATATCTACTGTTTCTGTCATAAAAAGATGAAATCATCCTTGTAGTCTTGTTTTATCAATAATGATATTTAGGATGAGTAATTACTGCTCATTACTCTGTTTCTCATTAACCTGCTTTGGAGCAGACATGATTTTGGTAATCGGCACATATAATAGCAGTAGGAAATGACACATAAATAGCTGACCTGTGCACTCTTTAATGTGACGAGATCTTTATAGTGATTTGTGCCATATATTGATTTTATCCGTTTGACTTGTTTATGACTTGTTTATGATTGATAACGACTGTAGTAGGCCACAGAGATGCGAATAACCTTTAAATCATCATTTTCGCCATCGGTGTGCTGCTACATGAAACTGTTTAAAAAATGCCACAGTAGAAGGGTCTATATCTTTTCTTTTTTTTTTTTTTAAATATGATGATACATACAGTATATAACATAATAAATTAAATAAAATGATGCCTTATTAAAAAGAACCTGAGCTTTACAAAACTACAGGTTCAGTAAATGTCATCTTCCCCATCTGCACACAATCTATTTGTTTCCCTTCTAGTCCATTCCAGATATGGGGAAGCTTGTAACTTCCTCCCCTTCCTCTGATTTGACAGCACTCGTGGTTGCTGATTGGCCACTTGGGTGTCTAGCTCTGTCATCTGTGGGTGCTCCTGGTGGCCAAATGGAGAGCAAAAGGAAAATGAATATGGGCTACTATGGGAGTGGTAGTTAAAGTTGAACTAAAGTCCACAAATTATAAATAAACAAACATGTAATACCTCATCTGGAATATGCAGTTCAGTTTTGGACACCAATTCACAAAAAGAACATTGGGGAACTGGAGAAAGTACAGAGAAGGGCAGCAAAACTGGTAAGAGGCATGGAGGAGATCAGCTATGAGGAAAGATTAGAGGAACTGAATGTATTCTCTCGAGAGAGGTGATTAAGGAGGGATATCAACATGTATAATACATAAGGGGGGATATGATCTCCATGTATAATACATAAGGGGGGATATGATCTCCATGTATAATACATAAGGGGGGATATGATCTCCATGTATAATACATAAGGGGGGGATATGATCACCATGTATAATACATAAGGGGGATATGATCAACATGTATAAATACATAAGGGGGATATGATCACCATGTATAATACATAAGGGGGGGATATGATCAACATGTATAATACATAAGGAGGGATATGATCTCCATGTATAATACATAAGGGGGATATGATCACCATGTATAATACATAAGAGGGGATATGATCTCCATGTATAATACATAAGGGGGATATGATCTCCATGTATAATACATAAGGGGGGATATGATCACCATGTATAATACATAAGGGGGGATATGATCTCCATGTATAATACATAAGGGGGGATATGATCTCCATGTATAATACATAAGGGGGATATGATCACCATGTATAATACATAAGGGGGGATATGATCTCCATGTATAATACATAAGGGAGGATATGATCTCCATGTATAATACATAAGGGGGTGATATGATCTCCATGTATAATACATAAGGGGGGATATGATCTCCATGTATAATACATAAGGGGGTGATATGATCTCCATGTATAATACATAAGGGGGGATATGATCACCATGTATAATACATAAGGGGGGATATGATCTCCATGTATAATACATAAGGGGGATATGATCACCATGTATAATACATAAGGGGGATATGATCACCATGTATAATACATAAGGGGGGATATGATCACCATGTATAATACATAAGGGGGGATATGATCACCATGTATAATACATAAGGGGGGATATGATCTCCATGTATAATACATAAGGGGGGATATGATCTCCATGTATAATACATAAGAGGGGATATGATCACCATGTATAATACATAAGGGGGGATATGATCTCCATGTATAATACATAAGGGGGGATATGATCTCCATGTATAAATACATCAGTGCTTCATATAGTGAACTCGGTGTAGAGTTATTCACCCTGAGGTCATCACAGAGGACAAGAGGGCACTCTTTATGTCTGGAGGAAAAGAAATGTAATCTCCAAACACGGAAAGGTTTCTTCATAGTAAGAGCTGTGAAAATGTGGAATAGGCTCCCTCAAGAGTTGGTTCTGGCCAGCTCAGTGGATTGATTTAAAAAAGTCCTGGATTCTTTCCTAGATACACAGAATATAACTGGATACTAACATTTATAGGTAAAGTTGATCCAGGGAATATCCGATTGCCTCTCGGGGGATCAGAAAGGAACTTTTTTCCCCTGAAGGAGCAAATTGGATCATGCTTTGCTGGGGTTTTTTTTTGCCTTCCTCTGGATCAACTGCGGGTGTAGGATTATAACTTTTTTTTTTTTTTTTAATAACTGAACTAGATGGACTTTTGTCTTTTTTCAGCCAGACTAACTATGTAACTATGTGGTGCGCTATTTCCCCATTAAAATGGAAAATTTTAAACAAACAATAAATGCAATCCTCACTCAATCAAATAGCAATAGTTCAATCCAACATGCAAAAAAAGTCATAGTGTTGCAATCTCATCACAAATTCCACACCGTGCATGTGTAATGAATCCACTCCCTGCTCACCTTAAGATTTGACCTACAAATTATAATATATACACTTTTAAATTGACTGTGTGTCCTCCAAATTATGATCCATGTTATACTCCATCCAGACACTATATCTTCTATAATTCTTGACTCCAAATCGTGTATAAAAACCAGAAAATATTCCGTAGTGCAGCACCATTTGTAATTAACTAAACTCTAAGTAGAGTAAACATATGCACTCACATTAAACAAAAACTATATACCTGCTCCAAAATAAAATGACCCAGTGTTCATATTATTTCACTGTACTGACTACCATTTTTCTCACTGTGTCAGGAAAACTTGTCAGAAGTGACTCATGCTGATAACAGAGGAGCAAGGCAGTGGACAGAAATGACACTTAGTGCTCTGGATTGAGACAAGTACACTATAGAGGGATATGCTTTGTTCATATTTCATGTCTGAGGTTTACAACCACTTTATTCTGTCTCTGCTTTTATATATGCATATAAGCTTATGTTTCTTTGTACATTGCAATGGAACATTTTAGATAATTGTAATAATCAAGTATTTTACAATTAGTGAAATTTCTGTTAAAGTGTTAGTAAAGCCACAACAGTATAATCAGTCTGTATATGCAGTAAATCATGCTTGTTATGCTCACTGTCGAACCTAAGGGGTTAATCCTCTGCATTGTGTAAAAAGGCTGTTTGATCCTGTCTTCTCTTATCCCCCTTCTTCCACTGTCCCCAATCTATCTGCTGATAGAACGGAGCCTTGGGGGCAATCTGCACATGCTCAGTTTGATGCTCAGTTTGATGTGTATTGCTAGAGAGTTTTATTTTTCTTGCGAGGGTGCATGTGATCAGCACAGGGCCAATTAATGCTGTCCAGACATAGGGTCAGCGGTCCTGCAGCCTCATAGGACAATTAGGGGAGAATGAAAACTCCTCCTACAAGCTTTAACCAGAGCTCTGCTGGACACTGATAGAAGTCACAAGACTGCTCTAACTGCTGATGAGAAAAGGTATCTAGCAGTTTATATTTACTAAAGTAATTGAATTTCCATGTTCTGTGTACTGTGGGAGACAATGCAGGGAATAGTGAATGCAGGGTCCTGGGAGACAGGATATAGTGAATGCAGGGTCCAGGGAGATCAGATATAGTGAATGCAGGGTCCTGGGAGATCAGATATAGTTAATGCAGGGTCCTGGGAGACCAGATATAGTGAATGCAGGGTCCTGGGAGACCGGATATAGTGAATGTAGGGTCCTGGGAGACCGGATATAGTGAATTCAGGGCCCGGGGAGACCAGATATAGTAAATGCAGGGTCCGGGGGAGACCAGATATAGTGAATGCAGGGCCGGGGGAGACCGGATATAGTGAATGCAGGGTCCGGGGAGACCGGATATAGTGAATGCAGGGTCCGGGGAGACCGGATATAGTGAATGCAGGGTCCGGGGAGACCAGATATAATGAATGCAGGGTCCAGGGAGACCGGATATAGTGAATGCAGGGTCCTGGGAGACCGGATATAGTGAATACAGGGTCCAGGGAGACCAGATATAGTGAATGAAGGGTCCTGGGAGACCGGATATAGTGAATACAGGGTCCGGGAATACCAGATATAGTGAATGAAGGGTCCTGGGAGACCAGATATAGTGAATGAAGGGTCCTGGGAGACCGGATATAGTGAATACAGGGTCCGGGGTTTAGTAACACTTTAAAGCAAATTTTACAGCTATTTTTAATTTGGTGGAATTATGGCTGCTTACACTTTGCTGCAGAATGATATAATGAGAGTCTGTTTTCTCACTTTACATTGTGTTTGCAAAGCATTGGCTGGGCCTATGGTATGTTTGATTCCCAATGCCAAGCCAAAGGGCCAGATGTTCGCAGACAGTCATTGCCAGATTGTTATTCTCTCCATTCTTTGCCTTGGAGGCCATTGTTCTCTCATTTGCGGCTGTGCCGAGCTCTGATAGTACCGCCAGGTTTGCTTCTGGATTAGGTTTAAGATTGAATGGCCAGAGGACCTGGAGCTTGTCTGCTATTATCAAATAAAAGGTGTATATTGACTTAGTGTATGACAATAATGTACTTATTATTATTATACAGAATTTATATAGCGCCAACAGTTTGTGCAGCACTTTACAATCTAAAGGGAGACAGCACAGATACAATACAATAACATTCAATATAATAAAATACAGTTCTGCAAAAGATTATCAAAAATTTTACTTTTTTTTATTTATAATCCCAATACCATCCATTGAGCTTTTCACAAAGTATCACTATATATGCAACACGTTTAAATGTTGTATTGGTATATACAGAATAATGGAATGAAACCTGACTCAGTCTTGTATATTTTCCAACTGACAAACTCTTCCAGTGACGAAAAAATGTACATTATGAAAATGTAAAAGTTCCACATGAGTAATTTTGTGGATCGTAAAGGTCACCGAGATTACATTCGCACAAATGAAGAGGGTGTACATACATGACTCTGGAGGAACACAGTCTACTGCCAGGGTGATGTCATGGCAAATGTATAATTAAATGTACCATGCAAATCCCAAATGCATAGGATACATTTGATTATGGCAAATTTAAATGCTAGAATTTAAAGATCACATTTTATTATGTTCAAAAAGGTCAGGACTTGGGAAAAGGGCATTGACTTCAGGGCCATTTGAAGATGCAAGATGCACAGAGCAATGATAGCAAATCTCAACTGTCCCTTATTTGCAGGCACTATCCCTCTGTTGCAACCAAATCTTTGTCCCTCTCTCCTCTTCAAATGTCCCTCTTATTGGTCTAAAAGGGAGACCAGCACACCGAGGATCACCAATATGGGACCAAAAGTTTTAATAAACGACCACATAGTTACAGCAAGGCAATGTTTTTGAGTCTCGCAGGACCCCTTCATCAGGCATGATGAATGTCTAATGCACAAATATCCATGAAAATGTCCAACTTAACTACCAAAATTTTGTTTGCTATTTTAAAAAGCCAGTATAAAGGAAAAGAGACGGTGGAAAAATCAGAGATTCTGGGTTTAACAAATTATTTTGGTATATAAATTCTTAATGGTGTGAGGGCAAGGATGTGCCCACTGCCTAAGTATATTGGGGTTGATTTACTAAAATCGGAGAGGGCAAAATTTGGTGCAGCTCTGCCTAAAAACCAACCAGCTTTGAGGGGTTTTTTTGTCAAAGCTTAATTGAACAAGCTGAAATTAGAAGTTGATTGGCTACCATGGACAGCTGCACCAGATTTAGCACTCTCCAGTTTTGGTAAATCAACCTCATTGTGTTAGAAGGTCTTCCTCTCTGACATCTCAGAAAGGTGGGAGATATGTGATGGAATCAACAGAGTAGGCCTTTATAAGGCAGATATAAAACTTTATAAAGTTGTGAAGAGAGTAGGAAAAATGACCATAATACTTCATTTCTATGGAGTAAACATATACCTCCATCACATCCTACAATACAATGCAATGCCAGGGTCTTCGTGTCCTACATTATATCACCAAAAGTTTGTAGATGTCTGACAATCACACCTACTTGTCCAAAAGTATGTGAAGATATTTCTTCAATGTGAGCTCAGGAGTCTTTAGTGTTTTTTCAAAAGTATATAGAGAAATGCTAAACAATTGCTTGTCTCCATCTTTGTGGCAACAGCTCAGGGAAAATTACTTTGCTCCAGAAAGAATTGCTTTGATTTCAGCCCTACTAGATACCTTTCGGATTGATTACCATGCCTGTTGGGAGTTAGGACTTCCAACAACAGTGCCTGACCTCATAAATGCTCTATTGGTTGAATTAGAACAAATTTCCAGAGACACATGCCAAGATCTTGTGAATGTCTTTCAAGAAGAGTGGAAACTGTTAAAGCCACAAAGAGGGAGATGCGGTAACCCCATATTAATGCCCTGGTTTGGGAATATGAGCTCCTATAGGTGTGATGTTCAAGTGTTCACAAATGCTTAACCTTGTAGCGTATCAAGAGGTCAAGTCATTGTCCTGTGAAATGTGGGGAGTTCAGGAACCTCTAGTGACATTCTGCAATGCCAAAAAGGAGAACGGAACTTGTATTCCAACACCTTATGGTACCTATTCTTCATAGAATGTTCTGTTGGTTTATTATTTCCTAATGACTAGGGGTTTGCCTTTCCAATAAAAAAAATGTTTATTGAAAATGCACAATTGTTCCCTTTAAAGATATCTCCAGTGAAATGTCTTTCATTTGAATGTTTGCTTTATTTCAATGCATTCGAGCAGAGGCTCAGTACGAAGTTATGCAGGGAATAGCCCTAAACACAAATAACATTTGGTAGATTTGTTTTCCTCTTGTTTATTTGTTTGCATACATAATTTCCTCATTACTAATCTTCTCTCATATCGCATTCGTACATTCTCATAATAACAAGTTTCAGTATCATGAACCTTGAAGCTTGATGCATTGTGTTGGTTTTTTTTTTTCTTCTTCTTTTTTCTCTTTCTTTTATTGTGATGTACAAGGTGGAACAAGTCAGGCGTAGTAAATCTTAGCGCCTGTAGTGTTTCTAATCTATTGCAGGTACCCAAGGCATACCAAGATAAAGTGACTTATCTGGTATCACATGAAGTGTTTTGCAGGAACCGGACAAGGCAAGGCTGACACTCAGCTGTGTGAAGCGTTGATCCGTTCCATATAGCAACTACAAACATCCTTTATGTGTTTCATCACTGTTTTACTGAGACGGCACTGAGGAAACAAAAATTAAAGATAATTACCATAACAGTGAGGGGATCTTGTGTGTTCACAGTCTCGTGGTCATACACAATGCTGGATTCTTGATAACGTTGAAGTCTTAGAATGTAATGGAGGCTAGCAAAGACCTGCTGTGTTGCTCAGCATGTCAAGCTGTGTTCTACTCACTAACAAGCATGGGATGATACAATCAGCGTGCATGCCATGGCTCGACATTCTGTTTCTTGTCCTATATATTGCTAGGGACTTGTAATGTCTTCTCTTTGCTTAACAAGTTCTACTAAACCGCTCATTGTACCGATCATTTCAGACACAACGTTGTTATGAAAAAATGCCGAAAGAATGGACTTTGAAGTTTTTAATTCAGCTTATTCACACTCTGTATAACATATGTTGAAGCCAGATGTAAGCACCCGGTGTGACATGAAGTTAATAATGTCCGCCTGGAGGCGTGGAGACAAGTGGATGTCGTGTCTTCACCAGTGACCCTGCCAAGAGGCTATTTCTTTCTGTTTGGTGGATGACAGCAGGATAGCTGTAGCCATAACTTTAAAGATACCCTGTCACCAAACCATTCATTTCATCAACAATCTTCCCATAAGGTTATTTGTGCTTATAACATATTTTATACATGTTATTTATCTGTAAATGCATCCTTTGTGTAGACATCCAAAAGCCCTGTAACTCCTGTTGGGTAACTCCATCTTGAATATGATGTCAGACTAAAGTGATACTCTATAGTGACCATTCTTAACTAGGATTCCTCCAAAGATTTCTAGGGTTTCCTTGAGCTTTGGCTGATTGAATCTCTATTTGATGGTGCTTGCCTAATATTGGGTCCAATGCCATTTGGCAGAATCTGCACCATGTCATCAATGATCTTTTTAGCTATTCATCCCACTGACCACCACACACAAGGGGGAATTCTTCCCAATGACCACCAGTGTAAGGGGCTTTTTTCCCCATCGACCGATGATGAATTGGTTTAATCAGAGATACCCCGAGACCTGAAAATTGTTTCAAGGGTAAAAAAAGAAAGACTGATCTTTAGGATAGATCCATTTATACTTCTTAGATATATCTCTCACTAAATCGGATTTCAGTAATATTTCAGTTATATATAATGTTTTAGGGTCAAGCTAACAGGGTATGGTGGGACTCACAGTTACTTCCATAGTTGGACTTTTCCAACCCTAATCTAACCAAATACTTACCTGTGTTTGCCACAGCCAGCGGCATGACACCAGTGATCTTTTTAGCTGCCTGTAGTGGTGGCATTCTGATAGTATTCTTCTTGTCCCCCACCCAGCAGCTACATAAAAGATTATGACATCCTGAAGCAGCTGAATTTTCCTAGAAAGTTGAAATCCACATTGCAAGTGAACAAAAAATAATTTATGGAAAGAAAACACATTGTAAGTAAGAATTTAAAATGCCTAATTTTTCGCTGCTTTTAACTGCATTTTTTTTAAGTTGGTGAGAGGGTCTCTTTAAAGGATAATTTCACCTTTTAAAAAAATGCTCATTTTTTGCAGGTAAAAAAATGTGCTTTTACTATTTTTTTCTTAGGAGCCTGGAAAGCATCAGTAGATCGCAGGTGCAATGCCAGGCTTCTGCAGACTGTGAGTGTAGCTGCCTGCCCATACCTCAGATATAGGTAGGCAGTTACTTGAATCCAGGAAGCTCAACTAACTATGAGAGTGATAGTTCATTGAGAACTACAAGCTGTCAGCCACAAAGGCTGATGGTAATTGGAGGCATTCATTTACAGAGCTCTGGAAATGAATGACGTGGCTGT